ATAGCTAATTTCTCTCCTAAGCAGAGAACCCAATGTTTAGGAAACTACCTCTGTAAGCTACTTTGAGTTTGAGAGATGAAGTCTCAGGCTCTGGTCTGCATGGATTAGGAGGAGAGTAAGAGGGAGATGAATTGCTTGACAAAATAAAAGGGGAGGTATTTGAAGGATGGGTATGGGGTGGGTTGGGGACTAAAGCTCAAGAGTTCAGACTAATTTGAGGAGAGAAGAGATGTCCAAAGAATCTGGAAAGGAAGAATATGGAAAAATGAGTCCTGAGGGTGAGAGTGAAAAGTAGAGGCCAGAGGCTCTCAGTGATGCAAATTGAAAGGGTGATCAGGGACCCAGTATTAATGCCAAATGGCAAGTGCTTTCATTATGTAGTGTTGACAAAAATTCTTATTTACCTCCGAACTGTCACTAAAAGTCTGTGACTCAGAATGGCCTTGATTTTGTGGTTGCTCAAGAGTATGAAAGGAAATGGGGTGTGTTCCATTTTTGGAATTGCACAGAGATGGAAAAGTACTAGCCACAGGAGGTGAGAGACGGGGAGATGAGCAGAAGCAGGAAATTAGAGCTGGGGTGACCAGAAGAAGTTCAGGCTCTCAAGACTCCCTGGAGGTATTGGAAGGCAACAGGAGGAAGGGCTGAGCTGTTTCCTATTGGATGCAGAGTGGGAGCTCAAGCCATTGTTATTTAGGAAGATTAATTTTTCATCTAAGGTGAAATAATACAGGTGACACAGGATACATTCCTTAAATGTCAGAAAATGTAGAAAACAATATGAAAAATTTTAACTACACGTTGACAATATCCAAAGCACCAGTAACTGTGCAAAATACACCTGGAGCCCTGGCACCCAAGGAGACCATAGCTTTAGGGAACAAGCTGTGACTGACTGGCTTGTCCCAGGACCAGGTCAGTAACCACAAAGGGCTGCTCTGCTGCCCCTAGGAGTTGCAGGGAGTACAGCCTGGTGGCTGCGTCCAGGCTGGAGTGATTAATTTCTGCCTCAGTGTGGGGAGACTAGATGAGATCACCTGCAAGGCGTTCAGAGTGAGTGGCTAGAGTTGAGAGCTGGTAAACTAGGCTGTGTGGTATAAGTGGGGTCATACTAAAGGGAGGCAGTTTGTGAAGCAGTAGAGTTTGGACTCTGGAGTGACAGCCAGGGTTTAAATCCGACTTCCACCATTTCTTGCTTGTAGGAAAGTTCTTTATCTTATTAATTATTTATTTCATTCCCCTATAATCACCCCTGAAAGATGATTCTTTGATCTCTTTTCAGCTCCACCCAACCGTTAGCGTGGTTCTAGGCGTAGTAGAGGTATTCACTAAATTGAACTATTATATTTCACATTGTCAAACAGACTGTAAAACACTATAACTAGATTTTAAATATCTCTGTTGCCCCAATTTTAAAGTCTTTAACATAACTAGTTATGAACTTAATAATAATCCCTAATATATAGGCTTTTCCTTAAAAAATATGGGGAGCATAGATGAAAGAATACTGGGGTTATGGTGTTTGTAGCTGGGTCATGGGAAGTGGGAGTTTGTTATATCATTCTGTCTACTTTATTATATAAAATCCTCCGTAATAAAAAGTTTGTTTATGCCAAAAAATAAAGCTTAACAAGAACAAATTTGTTCATTAGAGGATGAGGGGGGAAAAAAGCAGCATACGAATAAAGCTTTGTGCAAACCAAGTCATGCAAGCTCATTTAATTTACTTCTACAGAAGACACTGTGCATTAAAGAAGCTATGAATATAATACATCTGGAATTCAAGAAAGTCTAATGTGAAACTTTAATCAATGCGAAGAAGGACTGCACTAATGCCAAGAGGTTAAGTTAAATGTCTGAGGTGTGAAATGCGAAGAATATAATTGGTCTGAAATCAAACACTAATATTTATGTAAGGGATTAGGATGAAGAAATGAGGAAAATGCTCTTTAATTCAATTAGCATTACTAACTTGGAAATTGAAAGTGGAAGAATAAAATTTTAAATACTTAAATCACAGAAATGATGAGTCAAAAGTGGTCATGAAAAACAAATGTAAAGAAGTGTAACTGGTGGGGTGAGAGAAAACAATTCAGACGGAAGATATAGAGACTGACTAAAAATACATACGCCCTATGTGTTTCTTCATCTGGTGTTCACTGGTATCCTTTGTAAAATCCTTCACAATCAACCGGTAAACATAAGCGTTTCCCTGAGTTTTCTGCCACTCTAGCAAATTAATTCAACCCAAGGAGGGGGTCATGGGAACCCCAATTTACAGCCAGCTGGTCAGAAGCACAGGTAAAACAACCTGGAACTTGTGATTGGCATTGCAAGTAAGGGGCAGTCTTGTGGGACTGGGCCCTGAGCCTGTGGGATCTGACGCTATATACAGGTAGATAGTGTCGAAACTGAATTGGAGGACACCCAGCTGGTGTCTTCTGCAGAACTCAATAATTGGTTGCTAATGGAGAGAAATCCCTACACACTTCTTGGTGACCAGGG